TCCTCATAATCTTTTTCTTTTCTAAACGAGGATCTTTTCAGAAACCTTTGTTTGTTTTGTGCCAGACTCTTTATATCACGATTATTTCACACACTTGTGAGTAAACCATACAAATGACAAACCTGCGGCAGTTCACTCATGAAATGTGAGGAATGCAAAACAATCAAGCACTTGCTCACTTGGGTATTTATTGCACTGTGTACCACATCAAATATACAATTAGTATAAAATCTTCCAAGTTAAAAGAGAGAAGCTAGACATAAAGATTTCACCAAATTTGGAAAGAAGAGTTTCTGATTTCATCCTAAACTGGTAATACAAGCAACCTAGGTAGCCACAACACAATAACAACAATCGTTTAGCGTTTGCTAAACGATTGTTTAGCGCCTTAAAACTGACATTTGTGGCGTTATGCTGGGTTTACTACACTGTATATACACATCTGGTCTCAGTTCAAAAGAAAAACTAAGTTCAAAACTATAAAAGCAGCTAGCTAAACAGAGCACAGGTACCTGTTGCTCTGTTAGCCTTAGCTTTCAACGAGTCGAGTGAGGTGGGGAGAGTTTAAATAGCACACAAATAGCACACAAATCAATTAAAACGCAGTAATACTCTTTTAAAGGGTTCGTGAAACCCAAAGTAGTGTTGCTACATTAGGCTCAAAGCAGAAAAATAACCGTGTCCGCGTAGCTTCCAAAGTGACGTACTTTTAGATGCACTTACCGGTGTGAAACAACGCGAAAATTAAAGCCAAAACGAGCGTTTGTTTGACCATAGTTAAATTTGTTCAACCAGGATACGAAAACTTTACTTCAATACGGGCTCGGTTGGAGTGATATCCGGAACCTTCTCTCATAGGTTATTTCACGTCTTCAGTGTTCCCGCGAAACATTCATAGGGTAATGAAGGCGGGTAAGTTGAGAGGGCCAATGGGCGGCTGTCAAATGGTTGACAGGGAAGCGTGTGTTTGCCACGCATGCGTAAAAACAACGCAGTAGCGTTTCATGTGTCGTTGCGAATATACAGAGTGAGTGCCACACAGTGTTGCCAACTTAGCGACTTTGTCGCTATATTTAGTGAGTTTTCAGAGTTTTAAAAAAAGACGTGAAAGCGCGTATGGCTTTTACTCTCAACAAGCAGCGGGTGCTGTAACGCAGTCAGTTCTTCTTTTACTCTTATGCTGTTTTGTGGATCACAAGGTTTAAAACTACTTATA